TGGAAAAGAAACAGTAAATGCCACTTTCCCGGTAGCTATAGTAATGCTACGGGCCATTAGAGATTTCTTCTGGAAAACTGGAAACAAGGTATATTATTGCCAGCAGATCTTTCTTCAGAGTAAAGATAATGTTATTTATAATACTAGTTACAGCCACAGAAACTGTCTTTATATGCAGAAGGTGTGAATGAGTTACCTTTATGAAGATAAATGTTTAATTTACCTTTCATTACAAAAGAACACATTCATGGAGAAAAATGTGCGATTAACAGAAAGTGAGTGTGAGTGTGGGAGTAGGTATGTGTGATCAAGATGTAAACTCACTTTATGTCCTTTTATTAACTGAAGACAATTTTATCACTGACAAGAGATTCCTAAATGGGTTCTTTAACGAACTAATTCTGCTACAACACAGAGGCTTTCTGGTAAGGCGTTGGCCAGCGAAAACAGGTTAATGCAGAAATTAAACTTCCTTGAGGAATGGAAAGAATTGCAGAGTAACATTTATTGAATGATAAGCTGTGGTGGTGATATGAAAAGTATGCAATATAATGGGAAATAATCTTTTCCTGTCATTATTGAAGGACACACATAAATTGGTTTTTCTGTTGGGAAACCCCCGGTCCAGAAAAACTTATTACTTTTAATAATATGAGGTGAAGAGAAAATTCTCGAGGAGATGAACTTATTAAACAAAATAATGAAATGCTGTGAAACAGCAGGGAAAAGGTAGCTAGACGTTATATAGCTCTTGAATTAAATATCCATTTTTGCGTTTTATGGCAGTTGGATGTGCTCTTTGGAAGACTGTTAAGCTGAGGAGGGTATGTGCTAGCTTTTGTCAGCTTTTTGAAAAATAATACATATTTTTTGAAACATATGAAGTTAAAAAGAAAAATGTGTATGAGGTTTTTTAAAATGAGTTTGGATTTTCCTTTTCACTTCAAGTTGCTTGTTTAGCTGCAAATTATCTCAAAGGATTTTTTTTTTTTACATCATTGGAGAGAAAGGTAGTTTTTTTTTTGTTTGTTTGTTTGTTTAATGAGACTGTCCCTTCCTCAGAAGGCATCTTTTAAAACCAATCTCTGGATTTCTGCCAAATGGAAACCCAGAAAAGACCTTTAATCCTTCGCCAACTAGATATGATGACTTTATATGTGACTGTATCTTCGGTTCATTTTAGGAACTGGAGACCAGTTTTAGAATGTACTGGGTTTGAGAGGAAATGAACTCCTTCCAGAATTTTCTCCTTCAGAATAACTTCCTCTCTTAAAAAAAGTACAAATAGGAAAGATAGCTACTGTGACCTTACATATGACAGTTGACTCCATTTGAGTAACCTCTTTGTTGGTAGCCTTTCTGCACTGATCCAAATAAAAAAATGTTTAGCCGTCAAAAAGAGAACTCTATCTTTGGTCCCATCAGCTGAGACCACCACCATTTTTAGACCAGTGGTTCTTATTTTCCGCCAAAGTACAATAAAATAAATGTGCAGCTTTTTACGCTTCTAGATGCCTGGGCCCTCATCCCTAGCACTTCCAGGTGAGAGGTAATCCTCAGGCATCTATATGTTTCATAAGCTCTGTAGTCAGGATTAAAACTCACCATTGGAGACCCAATCCTGTTGTGTTCTCAACAAACATTTATTGAGTAGTTAACTGTGTGCCATGTTAACCTATGTTAACAGGGATACAAAATGAACAAGTCCCTTCCCAGGAGAGCTCGTAGACAACAAGCAAAGAATTTCAATAAAAGTTTTAAGTGCTCAATATTCTAGGCCAGAGTATAGTAAGAAGGGACTTTTTTGCTCTCTTTCAGTACTTCTTTTTAATGGTAATGACCCTTTCCTCAGATAATAAAGTTCATCCCAGTTTTATTACGAAACAGACAGATGCAAGTCAAATCATATTCATTTTAATCACATGTGATTTCACATAGTGAGGACCTGTGTATATGTCTGCAAATCAGGTGCATCCTTCCAGGTTGTTGACAAGTTGCCTGGGCAGCCCTTAGACTGTAAACTTTCTACATCATTGATTTAAGGGGTGTTTTAAAATGTGATGGGCCGTCTTCCAGACCATGCTTAGTGTCACTCTGAGCGGCAGAGGTTTAATATTTCATAACTGATTTCATTGCAGATTTATGTTTTCCATATTCTCTCCCTTAAAAAAAAAAGGATAAACTTATGCTAGAACCTCTTTTTAGAAACGTTGCCAAACAGACTTGCTGACACAACTGAACTGTATAGAAAAATCTATATGCAGCACAGTCTAATTGACAGAAAAGCGCTTATGATTAACATGTATGCTAATATCAGCTAATTGATTTTGGGGGCCTCTTCTCAATAAATAATCTCATCCTGTTTATCTCCCCCACTCTCCCCGTGCCCCCGCAGTCCTTCAGAGCCACTTGGGCTCCTGGGTAATAGGCAGATAGGGTTAGGATCAGTGTACAGCTGCTGCATAGCCATGTGGTAATGAGTGACTGAGGCGGGGAAGCCGGTCAGGAGACCGACCGGTATTAATGAGAACTAGTGAGGGTCTAAATGAAAGCGGCAGAAGTGTGTGTGGGGGTGGGGGGAGATACAGAAGTTAGGGAGGGAAGATCGGTAGGACTGGACTGTTGATTGGGTGTGGTGTGGTGGGGAAAATCGTGGAGTCCAGGTTAACCCTGAGGTTTCCAGCTTGGATTAATTATGGGACCATTCATTTATTGTCTCCCTTCTCTAGCATTCTGTTAGCCATAAACCCCGTGTTGGGGCTACCCATCGAATTAACGGCTCTTAGTGTTCGAATGCCTGAGCTTTAGTACTTGGGCTATGCAGTGTTTTCTCGACTGCTCCTGTCTCTAGAGTCTCTCCTCTACTGGATTCAAGTTCTTGAGACAAGTAAATCCAGATAAACAGGTTTTACTGTTTATAGAACACATTTATCCATTTCTAATGGACTCAGGGACATCATTTGTGAACATCAGATATGGGCTGAGTCGTGCTGTTTTATGCTCACCTTCAAAGACAACTGAACTGTGAAGAGCTCCTACACTGTCTTTTTCTACTGTGCTTATTTAACTGGTCTGGCTGCTTCATAGAACTCTTTCCACTTACAACTTATAAAAAAGTCCCTACACTTAAGTTGATGAAAATAACTGTCAACACTCCTTTCTGATTGCTGCCAGTTTGGTTAGTGTGGCCTCCCTGATTCTCTTCTCTTACTTTGAATACATGTATGTGTCTTTTGCACCTCAGGATGAAGGGCTTAGAGGCGACTAGACAGGCTTACTTATAGAAATGTAGAATGGATGTGCTTTTGTGATCTGTTTTTCTTAGTTATTGACACCTCTCTTGTTTATCCCCGGTTCACAGCTATAGTCTAGATGGTTGAGGTTTATGACTTTTCAATAAGTGCAATGTTAATGAGGGTTATTAACGCTCATTAGTGTCTCCTCAGAAACAGTGACACTCTTCCCATTAATCTTGGAAAAGTCATTTTGTAGCGTGAATGGGCGGGAGTCAGTGATCTAAGCTCTTTTGCTGGATGAAGTGAAATAGACTTTAAAAAAAGAGAGAAAGAGAATCGAGACCCTGTACTAACACAGTACCATTTTTTGTTGTTGTTAAAGATTTTATTTAGTTTTGAGAGAGAGCGAGAGTGTGCATGAGCAGGGGGAGGAGCAGAGGGAGAGACTCTCCAGCAGACTCTGTGCTGAGTGTGGAGCCTGACGAGGGTATGGATCCCAGAGCTCTGAGATCATGACCTGAGCTGAAACCAAGAGTCAGAAGCTCAACCAACTGAGCTACCCAGGCGCCCCCATGCAGGTCCGGTTTTTAAAGCACTCCGATAACATTAGACCTTGCTCTCTTTCCCACCTTTCCTTATAGGTAGGCTTTAAACCAGCAGGAGGCATCCGCAATGCCAAGGATTCCCTTGCTTGGCTCTCTCTCGTGAAGGAAGAGCTGGGAGATGAATGGCTGACACCAGAACTGTTTCGAATAGGTGCCAGTACTCTGCTTTCGGACATCGAGAGGCAGGTGTGTAATAATCCATTGTCCTTGGGACAAATTGACAAGTGAGTTTTTGAGAAAGAAACGAAAAATCCCCTATTGGGCTATGAGAGCTAGAGAAAAAAACTCATCTGATTTACCTCATCACACCCAAACTTCTGCTTTCGTCCAAGCAAACCTCCACCTGAAGTGGGTTGAATGGAGAGTCTGCGGAAATGCATAATAATATGGGGCTTTATAAGGAAACATTAATTATAATTATTAATTATTTAATAGTATAATTATTAATTGATATATATGATACATGATAATTATTAATTAACTAAACTCTGGTTTTCCTCACAGATTTACCATCACGTTACTGGAAGATATGCAGCCTATCATGATCTTCCGATGTCTTAAATCAGCGACCAGTTCCAGAAAAGTGCTTTACAGCAACATGTAAAATGTGTTTTTCTACGTAATTGCTAAAATTATTTAATTAAAACATGAGGGAATGAATAGATAACTGACTTTTTTTTCCCCCTTAAAATTTTCACTGAATTTAATTCAAAGAATAAAAGAAAAAAACAACTAATCCATACATGGTATTCTTTTCAGGTGCCTCTGAATGGTCCTAATTACTTGAAGATCTGTATTGTTAATTTTGTGAAGATTTTCTCTTAAGAATTCTGAGTAAAATATTATGATAGCTTTGACAGCAATAAATTCTAAGGGGCAAAAAAAAAACGTTAAACTGCCCAAGAAACGTGCCTTTAGCGAGAGAAAACATAGCATCCCTGAGCTGCTGGCCATACTCTGATGACTTCAGGAGTCACTGACTTGGCACTAATTTCCTGCCATGAAAATCTGTCTTTAATTTTTGCAACAGATATGCTCTCTTATTAATTGTTTTGCTAATGAAACTCCTGTCGTTGATACATGATACTATGGCTATTGCATTTTTTAAATAAAAAAATCTCTGTAGTTTATTTTTTTGGAAAAAAAAAAACCACTTTAAATTGTAACAACACCAAATGAAAAATAATCCATTAAACACAGAAAGAGGTTTTATCAATGACTTTCTGAGTCTGTCTAGTAGAGTCTGCATATTTATATCATAAAGCACCTCAGGAACACTATTAATGAATACAACTTACGTATATATCCTGAAACTTTTAAGATTTTTTGGCATAGTGAATAGGGGGAAAAACAGCCAACGCTAATGTAGCACTTAATACATGCTAAGCTCTTTACATAGATCAGTGTATTTAATATTTATTTAATCCCTGTAACAGTCAGTACTGATATTATCGTCCTTTTATACAGACAAGGGACTGAGGCACAGAGAGCTGAAGCAACTTGTCAGAGATCACAGAGCTCACAACCGGCAGAGTCAAGAATCAAGCCCAGGCCCAGTCTGGCTCCCGAATATGTGCAGTCACCCGGGGGGGTGCACCACTGTCCCTCAGCACACACAGGCTCATCATCAGAGCTTACTCTCTGCTCTGGGGAACGGTCATCTGCTTTGTGGGCTACTCATTCCTTGCCTCCCTGTCCCTCCCAGTGTTCCCCGTCTGCCAGTTTGGCTTGCTAGCAACTCTCCCACATGATAGAACCTACGTTTTCTTTTCTTTCTTTCTTTTTTTTTTTAAAGATTTCATTTATTTATTCATGAGAGACAGAGAGAGAGAGAGGCAGAGGGAGAAGCAGGTTCCCCGCAGAGCCAGGGAGCCCGATGCGGGACTCAATCCCAGGACCCTGGAATCATGACCCGAGCCGAAGGCAGATGCCCAATCAACTGACCCACCCAGGTGCCCCTAGAACATACGTTTTCTTAAATGGGGATTTTCATGGAGCTAGTCTCCAGCTACTCCTAAGTGGGAAATCCCAGACTGGGCATCTGTATTGGTTACACCTTCTGACTGTGGGATGGTAGCCAGCTTCTTCCTTTTTCTAGCCCTATGACCTTGGTTCAGTCCGTTCACATCTCTGGACCTCAGCTTCTTCATCTGTAAAAGAGAGGGGTTGGGCAGGTGCTATCAAGGTCCTTTCAGACCTAAAATTACATTACCCTAAGGATAATTATAACAAATTCTAGAAAATGTTTTATGGCTATAAAGAGAAAACACTTTTGTAGCAATCTAAATTAGAATTTGCCTCTTGGGAATCAATTAGGTCCCTAAAGCACCTCTCCAACTGTAAATGAAATGACTAAAATAAGAAGGGAGAAGAAATCCTGCTTTCCCCATTCCCTTAGCAGAAAGCTGACTCTTGACTTACACCTTTGGATACGGTCAGTAGCTCCGAATGTCATATCTACTCTCATAACATGGCAGCCCAGGTGCCCACGGCACAATGGCCAGTCACCCTTGGAGAAGAAACTTTGCAGAAAAATAATTACATTCTCTCACCTTTGAAGCTATTCCAATTTCACAGGGGTTTCTGTTTTCCTCCCATTAAACCCAGCTGGTCATTTTAGTTGATCAAGTGAACAGGCATCATTATCTTCAATTCTAATTTATATGAGGCATCCACTGAAATTGACCCCTGCGGACAATTATAGGTTCACATAGGAAATTAAGACTGTGAGTCCGTCCAACCTATTAGAGGCTGATGAACATGGCCTGATCTGAAGGTACGTAATCTTATATTTTGGGGGACAATTTATTCCAAGAACTATCAGGCTCTTCATCATCAATGTCTGCCCCTTACCTGGCTCTCGAAATCAAATGTAACACAGATGACTTTAATAGGAAGACCCTAGTAAATGTTGATTGCTATGAAAACATAAGAGGAAGAGATCATTTTCAAGGTGACTGTGATTTACTACAAGCAGAACTGTGTACTTCAGAACATAGGCAGCAGATGCTTTATACGATCAGAAAATGAGGGCCGTGTCTTCTAAGTTAATAAAGCAACCCCCACCCCAATTGTCCCAGTTGCTCAATAAAGCATATTAGTCCTTAAAGTTACTTTTTAAACAACAAATCATATAATTTGGGGGCTTAAAGAGACTTTAGAGAATATATATTTCTGACTAACATTCTTTATGTAAGAAAAGAAACCGAATGTAGGGAGGTCACTTACGTAAGACCATGTAGAAAGTCAGAGCTGAGACCAGAACTTGGGTCCATAGTTTGGCCGTGAAATATTGTACAAAACAGCCAGGGCTTTGGAATTGAAAGTTTCTTGTTTATACACCCTCCTGCACCTAACATTATGTTTGTCAGCGTGTGAAATTCAGACTTCGAAATGACTCACTTTGCCTCATAAGAGTCTTCTGGGGGCACCTGGGTGGCTCAGTCAGTTAAGCTTCTGACTTGATTTTGGCTCAGGTCATGGTCTCAGGATTGTGGAATCTAGCCCCACATTGGGCTCTGAGCTCAGCCAGAGTCTGCTTGTCCTCTCTGCTCCCCCCCCAACTCATGCTTTCTCTCTCAAATAAACAAAATCTAAAAAAAAAAAAAAGTCCTCTAAATGGTGTTTTAGAGACCAACCATCTAAATCTAGCCCAGGTGATGATGTGGTTAATTCCATCCATTAGACTTTTCCGAATTTGGGGTGACCTCGAAAACTGAAATTAAAAAAAAAAAAGTTGCATGTTGCTTTATTGTGTTTGTTATTTTTTTAAGGACAAAACTGAGAAGGGGGTTGTTTGGATTCTGGTTTGTCTACAAATGGAGAAAAAATGACTAGTGCAATCACAAAACAGTTTCATAATTACAGTATCTTTGCCTCATTCTAGATTATTTCAGCGCTAACAGGAAATTTAGGCAAATTAGTTTCCATGAAAAATAGCTTCTAAGGAGACCTGTATAAAAGCAGGAACTGTTAGAAATCCTATCTGGAAGTCTCATCCTCTGTGCACGGAGTCTCTGTCTTGATGGAGCAGAACAGTTTGCTAGGCCGTGTGTAGATGTCTTACACAAACCACATCTAGAGAAACCAAATCAGTTTTTTGTTTTTTTTAAAAAACAACTTACACTGCTAGTACCAATATTAATTTTTCTTCTACCAACCTGATAATTTTTTGATGCAACATAAATAGAGCCAGAATGGAGATAGAAGAAAGAATTTGAATAGATCATACTTTCAAAGGAAATGAAGCATTATGGCCACCTTGGCACTAAGAAAAAGGTATGAGGTGAAATCAATTTCCACATTTGTTTTCCTGATCGTGCTCAAGAGTCTGGCGTCCCAAAGGAAAATACGTATTTTATAACCACCACGAAATGATCCTTTCCAGAAATGACCACAGGTAACATCTGGCCAATATATAAAATATGTAGTAAAAATAATCATTTTTAATTAACTAAAACCTGCTCAGGAGAGAGAGTCAGAGGAATATCCATCTGGTCAATTCTAATTTAATAGGGCAAATGAGGATCAGAATGTTTAATGCAATATATGTGAAATACTTAGTGACCTTACAATAAACTAAAACTTTTTTTTTTAAGGAAGAACAGGGATGAGGGGGAAGAATCAAGATATCTTGAAATGACAGACCTAAAATTTGATTTTTATTTTAGAAGTACATGTACTTTAAAACAGAGGTGGAATATAAGAGACCTAGGTTTTGTGGCATTATTTTCTATGGTTCAATGACAAAGTGTATTTTAATCTATTTGAATGGTAAAATGAGGTATTTTATTCTGGAGCTTGACAAGGATGATGGAGAGTTTTAAGTGATTATAAATAAAGGTAAAAGGAGCAAGGAGAAGATTGAAGAGTACTTGATGTCTAATGGTCCCAAGAAAAGTTATATATTGGCTTGTAGTAACCAAAAGTCCTCTATCCCCTCTGTAGAAGAAGAAATGAGTGTATGCTACATGAGAAGTTAGGTTAGTTCTAGGGGAGAACTCCTTTAATAGTCTGAAATATGCTGTTAAGAAGGTACATCTTTCTCTTCCCTTCTCAGGAGTAGATTGTCCTTTGATTGGAGTGGTTTAGTTGTGCTTCCAAAGAAAGTGGTTCTCAAACTTTAGTATACATGAAAATCACCAAGAGTAGTTTTGGTTTTTTAAAGATTTATGTATTTATTTTGGGGGTGGTGGGAGAGGGGCAGAAGGAGAGGGAAAGAATCCTTAAGCAGACTCCCTGCTGAACATGGAGCCCAATGCGGGGCTTGATCCCAGGACCCAGAGATCATGACCTGAGCCAAAACCAAGAGTGGATGCTAACTGGCTGAGCCACCCAGGCACCCCGAGTTTTTTTTTTATAAAACACTGAATTCTGGGCCTCACCCCCAGAATTTCCAATTCAGTAAATTGTCTGTGGGGCCTAAGAATTTGCATTTCCAGGAAGTTCCCAAATGATGTTGATGCTCAGGAACCACACTCTGAGAACCACTGGACTGGAACACTTTGTACTCAATACCTAGATTCTGAAGTAAATTCATCTCTTCGTTAGTAAAATTCACCAGCTGCAGTACTTCTTTATCACAGAAGTGCAGGATGAATGTGTACATTTTGCTGCTTTTCATA